TTTCAGGGCAAACAGCGCTTAGTGATTGTCCAATGGAATGCAGGTGGTTTTTCCCAAGAATAGAAAACACAGCTTATGACTGAATTAAATGATCAACAAATAGATGTATTTCTTATTTTTGGTGGCAAATTTGTCTACGGATGCTATGAAATACTACTCGTTTGATAACTACTGTCTACAGCTCTTGCCTAAATCAAGAAGAATCGCTAGTGAAATCTTGGTTGGTATTAAAAAGAATTTGATGTCCAAATTCAATATTATCAGTGACTTACCCTCTCATATTGGTGCTGAGCTGCTCAAAATCGACATTTGGAAACAAAAAACCCATTTTACTATTTATGCTTGTTATATCCCACCGAACAATAATAAATTAAATTTCCACGCAATGGTTCTTGGTCTGAGGTCGCTGCCAAATCAATTGGCCTATATACAAAGCATTCATAGTCAGATATAAACAGATTACAGCTTAGGTTAAAATAACATGCCGAACAAATATTAATTTAGAAGTCAAACAACAATTTTTGTCATTTGACTTCTAAATTAATATTAAGGTTACAGCTTCTCAAATTATGAATTATTTCAGCAATTCAACATCTTTATACATTGAGTCTTCAGAAGATAATTTTGTCATAAATCTGTTTTATCCAGTGTGCAGCGAGAACACATTCATTTCACTTAAGATCTGAATAGTCGTTTTATAAACATAACATTAAATATATCACGAAGTTTATAAACAACTAAAAAAGTAAATCCTCTCCATTCAGAAGACAGAATTTGGACAGCATTCACTCAAACAAATCAAATGATAAGAATTAAAAAACGTTTTAATCTATAGAGGACTAATCCCTTGCATAGCCACAAGCTCATTAGAATAAAGTCCTTAGCCCCTCTTCCTGTCAACCGCGAAAAGTTCCATCATAGCATCAGCCTTGCAGACATCTCAGCCGATGAACTTGAATGGAACCAGATACCTTTAAGTTCTTGGTTTAAATGATCATGTAAACAACATGGTGTCCTAAGATGCACATATTGTGTGTCCTGGTTCTTCAACATTTGTCCCCATTCTCCAACAAAAAAGGCAATTTTTTTAGAAAATAGAGGTAAAGATGAATTAAAGAAAACTTAAAGGCAGGGCCACCTTAATGCATGGGCTCACTGGGCACTTGCCCAAGGGCCTTAAGTTAATTCATTTATATTTGATTTCTGCAAGTGGTTATCATACAACCACCCAGCACATTCGTTTGCCTAGGGGCCCATAATGCTGTTATGGTGTTTTCCTTTATCCTCACATAAATGGATACCAAATATGGATGATTTTAAGGGATGATAATTTCTTCATTAAGAATTAGAAATTATGGGAAATACAAAAACTTTTAGCTGAAGATATCTACAAAGTTCATTATATCCAATTTTCATATCTTTAGAAGTTCACAATAACTGTATAAAATAATCCTAAATGTATAGGAAATTATGCGGCATTGAAACATATATTCATTCATCATAAACCAGGTTCACTGTACTTGATTTTAATGAAACAAACTCAAACCTTTGCAGTATATATCTTATAGTCTCTCTCACAGCAGACATTTTTAAAGAAAAAGTTTCTAAATTAATTTTTCATTCTGCTTCATTTATTAATGCTTAAATAAACTGATGAAATTTTAAACTTCTTAAAATATTAAACTGCCTTACTTTTACACATTATATATAAATAGAATTTTCCTATTTCACATTAAATTTTCTCAGACTTTTACCACTAAAGGTAAATGAATAGCAAAAAAATTTTATTGTACATGTACTAAATAACTATTATCCACTACAAAGTCCGAGATCCTGAATGATCTAAAATCTGGACCTTTAAAGCCACAAACCTTATTTTTTACACTTTACGCATTTGCTTTTTCTTTCCATAATAAAACATCTGGAGAATCCAGATTCTTACTTTCACTTATGGACTAAATAAAATAAGAAAGAAAAATTCATTTAAGTATAAATTTGTGAGATTAACAATTTGGCTCCGTAGCTGCTTATCTGCTTGGCATACATCTCAAACCGAAACATTCTATATAGGAACATCGTTGATTCTACACCTACTAGTATTTTATATCCCTGATGCTGACCTGGAAAATCATTATTTATTATACTTTGCTTTCATCACCGAATGTTTATCAATACATGACAACTTGAGTAGAGACTCATGCAGTGATATCTAATTTTTTTTTAAAATATTAGTAACTGAATAACAAGAGTATGGTAACCTTTTATGCTGACATTAGGCTTAGCGATGAATACAGATTTAAGTTGAAAGAAATGCTGACAAGGAAAATTAAATAAACCTTTTTTTTTATATGCTAAAAATAGATTCTGTTAATGAAACTCATAGGCCAAAGATTACACTTAGTGCTATTTCAATTATGAATAACTGATATGTTAGTCACATAAACCTAAAACCGGCACCAGAGCTCATATGGCCGCACCACGCAACAGAATTTATGGAAGACAAAATTTTGGGAATTTGGAAAAGTACTGAGCAGCAAAATTAAGAGATGATGAAATTTTCCTAATTTAGGGAAAGCACTGGGATCCAAAGTTTAGGGGTGGCAAAAATTTAAAACTTAGGGAAGCACTTTGTAGCAGAATTCAGGACCCGCAGAGTCCACACTAGATACCGCATCAGGCGGTATCTAGTGTGGGCCCTTAGATAAGCTTTAAGTATATGTGGGAGTTTATTTATTCAGGACTCAGATTAGCCTTAACCACGTGCAAGAAATAAACGTAGGCATAATAAATAACTAATACAATTCAGGCTTAATTCAGTATGTGATAGACTCAAGACAAAATTTAGCAGAACAACTTGTCTTTCATTGCCAATTTTATGATATATAGCCATTAATGTATAGCAAATGCTATCAAGCTAGGCTAAAATTATCTTTACTGATTCTAAGGAATTTCAGTTAATGTGCTGCTCCTTAAACCTCTAATTTGATCTAGCTTATTTTTTGCAGACTGTTATTATTACAGCAATTTTATAAAGATTAAAGCTTAAACTTCTGATTATGTCGAAAAGCATTTCTAATTCTGGAGCTGCAAAAGGATTTACACAGCGAAAGCATGCTTCGATGTCCATCAAACAAAAAGCGGAATTGATGCAAAAAATGGATAAAGACATATCTCTCGCATAATTATACAAGGAGTATGGCATTGGAAAGTCAACCGTACATGACATAAGAAAAACTTTTTTAATATTTTGTGGATTTCACCCCACTAATAACATAAATAATTGAATAACGGAAAAATTGTTCATTATGCTAAAAGCGATGATTGAATGGGTCAGACAGCGTCACCGTGAAGGTGTGCCTTTCATAGGTCCAATGTGCTAATGGCTCAAGCCAAAATATTTCATGAAGAAATGAAGTGCACATATTTGACAGGTTGGTTAACCAAATTTAAAAAATGCCATGGTATAAGGCAATTAAAAATTTCAGGTGAAAAAGCTTCAGTTGATATTGAAGCTGCTGAACTATTGGCAGATGAATTCATTGAACTCATTACTAGTGAAAAATTATCTCCAGAACAAATTTACAAAGCTGATGAAACTCTTTTCTGGCAATATGCACCGCAAAATACCTTGCCAACCTCAAAAGATAAGGCTCCAACTGGTGTCAAAGATTCCAAAGCGAGACTAACAATTTTAGCGTGCACAAATGCTGCAGGAATGCACAAGAGCAAACTTTTCGTAATCAGAAAACATACATGACCTCGAGCATTTAAAGGAGTAATCATTTTCGCCGCTATAAAACAGCATGGATGACACAAGCATTAATGAATGATTGCTCTGAAAATCATTTTATACCTGAGGTTCAGCAACATTTGCATTTGGTTGGTTTACCTGATGACACATATTTTTGGGTCATCAGGTAAACCAACCAAATTCAAATATGTGATATGTGTCCCGACTGTGGACAACTGTTTGGCTCATACGTCACTTAAAGTTTTAGTGAAAAATAACATATCCATATTATTCTTTCCTCCAAATTATATGTCCATCATTCAGCCTATTGTTATCAGAAATGTAAAGTAGCATTTTAAAAATCCGCATAAAATTTCTTGAGCAATGGCAAGACTATTCAAGAATTCGTGAAATATTTCAGCATAAAATCTGCTGTGTGGAGCATCACAAGGTCATGAGAGAATGTGTCTCCAAATACTTTATAACATGCTTGGCATAACTTATAGCCAGCTACCATATTTCATGGTGAAGATGATAGCTACAAATTTGAAGGTTTTTAGATATCGCAATCCAAAGGTGAAATTTTCCAGTTAATGGATTTTGTAAAGAAATGTGTAGAGGCGGTAATAAATGAAGATGATATAACAGAAGTTTTTCATCGCGATGACAATGCCCCAATCATCAATCAATTAATGGACAGCAAAATCTGTAGTACGATTCTAAATCCAGAAAATACCGCTACCGATAATGAAGAAAGCGACAGAGAGTTATCAAAAATGAAAAATTTTGATTGACAAGTTAGTCGGAATTCTCAACACAGCAATTACAGGATTTGAACAGTGGAACTTTGTAACTGAACAAGAAATTGTCTGTTTATAGAATTAAAGAGAAAGAATTAGCACAAAAAACGAAGCAACTTAAACAACTTACATTGAAAGAAATGTTTAATAAAGTAAACAAATATTGAGCTTTTTTTTGTAAATTTTGATACCCTTTAGATCATAAATGCTCTTTCATAAATCGCAATTTCATATTTTTAATTGTATAATTTCTGCATGCCATCTTGTCAGATTTTAATTGATGATCTAATACACAGAAAAATCCCAAATCCGGAATCACCGAAGTCCCAATAAGTTCGTATCTAGGACTTTGTACTGTAATTTGAATGATTTTTTTACAGGCATATTCTGAATTATTTGGTTATAAAATGTTTGGTTCGAAATACATAGACAAAAAAGTGAAACAAAAATCAGAAGGTAACAAACACAAATTATATATAACATTGTTGTTTATTTTCATTAACTGCTGCTTAACATAATTTTGCATAGTATTTTTAATCAACATTCGTATAAAAGACAAAACTTACAGGAAAAGCAATAAAAGTTCAATGTAAGAACAATTATTTATGCAGCTTAGATTTGTGCAATTGTACAAGACTTAAACTTTCTTTATAATGTTTATTTCCATATAAACATGAAAAATAATAAATGAAAAATGCCATTTTTAAATACACAAGAACTCTTTGACACTATACACAGAGAAATTGAGATTTTTTTTCTGTTTTAAAGAAAGTCAGTCAAGCATAAAACAAACATTACACATGATATCAATTAAAAATGGCTGCACATATGGAGGACACAAAAAATAACATCTGCCAATGAATTTACATTCTGAAGCTAATGAAAGTATTATATTTGAATACACTTATAGACTTGCATGCAATAAATACAATAACTGAAAAAATTCAAAAAAGACCAATTCAGTTTTAAGACATAAAAGTTATTCAATATAAAATGCAATTCTACAATCAAAATACAAAATTTTGGTTAAATGATACAAAGTTATATGACTTCATACACATTAAAAAATCACATGTACCACAAAACTAAACAGCACAGAATTGAATTTGAAGCTGTTTTGACATACTGGTGAACACGTTTAACAATGATGAACAAATGATAAATCAGGAACAATTTTATATTTTTTAACAATCTTAACAAACTGTAGAATTGAAATCATATAACATGAAAATACAATATCATTCTAACGGGAAAACATTTATAAAGAAACCTAAATATTTCAAATTATTTGCATAACATCACAAAATTTCAGCAAGCACTGCAATTATAAAAAGTGTTATTTCAAAAGAGACATAGTGAATTTATATTCAGTACTGCTATAATCAGTTATGATCCATAATATTGGAAATGACAAAATGCGACCACACAACAGCAGTCTGAAAAAATAAAACAGTCATAATTATTTACCACAGGCCAGTGGAATGGCCTCCAGGTGGATTATTAACGCGTATGCCAGATCGTTGTCCTTTAGCATCATCTATTTGAGCACCTATATTAAAAAATCCACAATATAAAAACATGTTTAAGCAGAAACATTTTTTATGAATTACTTTAACCCAGATACAACAAAACATGCTATTTGAAATTAGGCAGAATAGAAAGCTTGTGTCCAGCATAGATTTTAAATAAAATTTTATCAATTTTGTGGGTGGACAGATATAGGCCCCTCCGCGTAAGAAGCAATAAACTCTGTAAAAGGGAGGACCCAAAACTATATTTATATCAAAAACAAAAGGCAGAACAAAACGAACACAAGCATAGTGCCATCTGTGGATGGAAACAGTAAAGAAACATGAAAAATTCAGATATTAGAATTTTAAAAGCATTAAGGACGGGATTGCAATTAATGACTAATTATTAACTAAACAACATAAGTTTTTGTGAATATAAAAGGCTTCAGAAATTCAATTCACTAACTGAAGAATATAATTTTCACAGACCCAAATGTCCAAACTGCTATTAAATTTTTTATCATGATTAACTACTGAAGATTTGTTTATTTCTTTCACATACACATCACAGACATAAGATTTGTATTCCTTGATGTAAAATTTTAATATGCTTAGTCGATATTCAATGTCTCGAACCATATTTACAAGATATGATGTTAATTCTCCAAAAACGTAGTTAGAAATGGAATCTTTAAGAATCAAACAATGGGTTTTATTGATAGGTGAGAAATGCCTAGAAAGTTGAACTTTTGGAGAATTCATGCAATTTTTTGAATGACAGAAGAATGAAGTGGAGTGATGACAAGGTTATTAATGCTATTTCTAATAGTGGAATGCCTTTGATAGCAAGATGACAAATTTTTTAAAGCTTTATCAATGATTAAATGGGAGAAAATTTTCTGTCAATGGCAACTGATTTTAAAAAAATTGAGTTCATTAGAAAGCAAAGATTCTAGGGCAAACATTTAGAATGTGATATCAGTAAAAAGTAGCCATGTTTTGTTGCTATTTTAGAATATCAAACAGAGGAAGGGAATTGTCATGTTCAAAAGTCAACTGGATGGCTGATTCATTCAAATTTATAGTGGATAAAATTTGGGACATATCTTCTTTCTTTACTACCATGAAAAAGTGCAAAAAAATGTCACCTATGCAGCAAATACAGAGATAAAAAGATTTTCTAAAATAACTTGACCTCAAAATAGAGTATGTGAATGTCAGCAAGTACAGGACCGAGAGGATTACACACAGCTAATCACTGGAGATATTTATTTATTTTGGAAAAAAAAGTGGGTTTGACTCTCAAAGCAACTTAAATGAGAGAAATATAGTCATTATTCCTTCCCTCTTTGAAGAATATTTTTGCTAAAGATTAAGAGGGGCCAGTACCTGTTTACCTTCAAAATAAATAGAGTTTTAATTAAAATGAGTGCTGAACACAAGGTTGCTGTTTTGCCCAATTTTAAGTTTTACTTTGTTCTTTTTCTTTCTTGAAACTACACTTGTAAATGTAATGAACTATTCAAATAAACATTTTGGTGCATAAAATGCAAAACAGAATAAGCTCCTGTTTCATATTAGTGACAGATAACTCTAGATCATTGGTGCTAGATTTTGTACCTACATAATTTACCATCAGAAAATGCAATGACATTCAAACCCTAAACACGTGAATAAATTAACACCATCTACTAGTAAAAACTTCAGAAGTTGAAAAGGTGTATTGCACAGTAATGTTAACAATGACTGCTGATGGAAAAAAAAAATTGCTGCCTTTTGAATTTTTTAAATGAAACATGATGCTTAACCAAAAGCTTCCTCTTGGAATCCTAGTTAGCTTACATGAGAAAGGCTGGATGCCATCCGACTTATGAAAGAGTGGCTCGAACTCTATGGAACTGCTGAAAGGTGCTCTTCTACATAAATGTCACTACTAGTCTTTCAGAGTTTCCACAGGCATCTCGTGAAACATGTCAAGAGACAAATGAACCAAACAAACACTGTTATCATTATTCCAGGAGGAGTTGTATCACTTCAGCAATCACTAAATGTAACAGTGAATATTTTGTTCAAAAACCATATCTGAAAAATTTATAATGAGCCATAGAGTGGTTAGGGAAGCCTACTGCATCAAAGAGCATGGGTTTGAATCCCGGAGAAGGCATGGATGTAACTTGTCTGTCCATTTATAAAAGGAAATGGTGGCCACCTATTAGGCACTTCATAACAAAATGACCAATGCCAAGCCTTTGTAGCGGCAAAAGCCTGAAAATGGCTAGTGCATGCTGTAAAAAAAAGTTTTATATTCAGTGGATATCATCTGCTGATATCGCATAATTTTACTGGAACCAGAAAAATCCAGAGGCCATTCACAGAATTGATTTGCTCATGGATTTTAGGTACAGGGGCTTTGATTGATAAACCAATAATAGTAAACATCTTCAAGAAAACGAAAATATCTAGGGCACTTGATGGTTCTAAAGGACCATCATGTGCATTACATGTGGGAGGATTGACTTAATGATGACTTACAAATGACCCAGTAATTCCAGGAGTAGATGAGGCACCCATTAATTACAGGAGCATAGAATGATTGGAAGACTAGAGAGTAGTAGTAGATCACAATAGGAATGAACGACATTCAAATCGCACATGAAAAGAAATGAAGATGATTACATTTTAATATCTTATTAGATATTGTAATGTTAATATTAATATGTATTTTACTGGAATGTAGGTGTCTTTTTTAAAGAAATAACATTGTAATTACCTGTCTTTCATCCATGACTAATTTTCACTTGTTATATTCTTATCATAACACCGCATTCTTCAGAAATTAAATTGCTCACATAATATTCCCCTCTCGATTTTATACTAAAATTAGTAAACACGGGGAATCCATGAGAAATACAACATTAAAGAAATTTTGCCTTATACCATATAATAAACTCAGTGGCGTAACAGCCCTAATGGGTCAAGGCCTGCAGTGCCGAAATCTGCTTTCTTCACCGTGGGCCCTGGGGTGCATAAGCATATGCCCTGTACAAGTGGTCAGCTTGTCGCAGGACTCCCCCAGTGTTTAGTCCCCAAGCAATCTTGGTACTTATTTTATTGACCCAAGTGATGCAAATCAAGGACTGAAAGGCTGAGTCGACCTTCCCCAGCCAGGGAATCGAATCCCGGACTTGTGGTGCTGCTGTGCTGGCCACTGCGCCACCGGGCCTCATAGCATATAACAGGATTTATAATTAACACAAATTCAACAGACTTTGTCTTCAGCGCTATAGTATATCTACATACGTATCTATATTTTATCCATGGAAACAACACAGCTCATTTATACAAACATTCCCACAATTATCATGTACCTTCACAAACCTTTCACTAACTCAATGCCATTATGCTAATTGAGATCTATTAGGGTTGGTGTTTTACTATGGAAGCACTGACAAAGCGTGCTAACCATTTTTAGACTATGAAGTTTACAATATTAACTACGAAAGCTTGCAACAAATTCCGGGTTGAGTAAACAATTTTCGTACCTGAGCAGAAGGCATAAGTAGCATGCTTTATGATATATCAGCAGTACTCTTTACCCAAACCTTTGAAATTTTTTAAATGTATCTGATGCTTAGTGTCCTATTTAGCAGCCTGTATAACCCATCCTTTAATACAATGCTGGATAGCTTGGAATCTGCAGAAGTCCTTATTTATGTTCAAATGATAAAAAATGCCTTTTATAGTTCTAGTAGCCTTAAATAATGACATTCAACACAGAGTAATAGTAATGGAAATGATACAGTTACTTAAAGAATTAACCAGATCTTTCTTGCACTAAGCCACAAATTATCATGCTCTATAAAATCTTCTTTGTTTCTAATACCCAGCACGGATGCTAAAACTTTTTGTTGATTGTTCTGCTATTTGAATGGTTCCTCTAGTCCCTTATACATAGACAAACATACAAATAATAATTTTTAACTTCTATCTACCAAGGTAACCAAAAACGTTCTTGCCGTTTTAGTCAGTCGGAAAGAAAAAGTCATAAAACAAATAATAATTAACGCTAATCCTCAAAGTAATCACCATCGGCATACAGTGCCTTCCCAATCCAGCTGGCAAACTCAGGAGTCTTGGATGCAAAGAAGTCCATGAGCGCCTTTTCGAGGTCTGGCCAGTTGTTGAAAGATTTCCCATGAAGATGGTTGTCAGGGAATGGAAAAGGTCTGTTGGTGCAATGTCTGGGGAATATGGTAGATGGGAAAGTGTCTCCCAGCCCAGTCGCAAGATGGTGTCCCTGGCTTCCAGAGCCACATGCGGCCATGCATTGTCATGGAGGAGTACACCCTTACAATTGACCAATGCTGGCACTTTATGCATCAGTCATTCCAACTGCAGCGAGTAAAGGCCTGCAATGTTGATTTGGGCCACTGGCAAGAGCTCATTGTGTACCACTTGGTGCCTAGTCTACCAGATACAGAGCATGATCATGTATGGGTAGAAAGGTCTCAGTGTGAGGCACAGGTTCCCATGGTGACAACCAATGTCTGGAATGCCTGGGTGTGTGATACTGGACCCACTTTTCATCGCTGGTGAGTACTTGAAATATGGATGCATTGTGGTGATGAGTAAGCAATGACGAACAGGCAGCGACACGCTGTTGCTTGTTTGCATTGGACAGTGAGTGGAGTACCAACTTGCTCAGCTTGTATGCCTTTCCTATATGGTGCAAATGGAGTCTGATCATTTCATCAGATACATGGAAGTGTGCAGCAAACTCCCCACGTTTGGCAACTGTCACTCTCTATGGCTGCTCACAGAGCTTCATCGTCCAGCGCTCGTGGCTAACCACTGCATGATGCATCACTAAGAAACACATCCCCTGACTTGAACTTCTGGGACCATTGCCTAGCAGTTCGTTCGTTAACGCCATCATCCCCAAAGGTCTGGTAAATTTGGCAACTTGATTCTGCTGCTGACAGGCCCACTTTACAATCATACAGAAAAAAGGTCTGAACAAGCACTTTTGATGCATCCATTTCAATCAGTTGCTGTGTGAGATATGTTTGAAGTACCGGTGAAATGCACACTTTTATACTCTTCGTCAATGTCTGGAATCCTAACCACTTCATTGCCAGGTTTGGCTACTATTTTTATGTGGGGGTTCATTCTTCCAATGTCATATCAGAAACGGCAAGAACTTCTTTGGGTACCTTGTATTACAGCAATCTTGAGACCTCTTTACACCATAAATGTCAATCTTTTGAAATAATGAGAAGCACCATGCAGTGTTTACACACTGGATCACAAACAATTAGCCTTTAGAACTCGATCAAATAAAAAATTATGAAATTTAAATGCAAAGTAAACTATATTTCCATGGTCTTGAAATAATTCAATCATACTCTAGTTACATAAATTGCTTTTGTAAGCATATAAAAATCATATGTCCAAAACATTATATGCATTAAGAATGCAGTTGATATTATTTCCAAAAGAGCAAAATTGTGCTATAACATTCCTTTATTTTTAATCAGTGATTTGCAACAATACACACTCACACAAGAAATAATAATAAAAAAAGTTTTCAAGAATGCTACTCTAACTGTTGATAACAGGTTCTGCATATTTCTGTTACTGAAAGGACAATAAGTATTTCCAAATGTAATATTTAAAATATTTTATTAACTTTTTATAATCACTTAGTTACAAATTTATTTTCCACTAAAACTATAACTTCATGTTACTATTAATGCATGCATATAATTTCATTTCTGCAAATATGACCAAAAATTATATTTCTATATTTTAACTGTTAACACATCTCATGGACAAATAATTTTCATCATTAATCTACATAATAACTTCTGTTTTGCCTCATTAAATATAGTTATGTACACACCAATATTGAAACCTTATTATATTTCACATTACTTTAGGCCCACTATTATCATTTATTCTGAAGTTTTTCTTTAGAAAAAACCTTTTGAAAAAGTCTTTTTTTGGGTTATCAAAGTTGAATAGTACCTATTTTGCAAAAATTAGAACTTCTACCTCAGTGCTTGAAATTTTAAAGCAATTGCTGAAATAAATTGCAGTCAGGATGTACATGAAATTGCTTTCAACATGTAAAGGTTTTTGGCTATTACAAACTAACTACAGACAAACGTTTTGAATTTGTGTTTAAAAACTTCACAGAGCAATCCTTTTTTTTTTTTTTTTTTTTTTTTACTGCAACAGTGCAACACTCAATATTAAGAATATAAAATGGGTACCAAAATTTCATCCTTTACAAACACTATTATGGCAAAAACTTCAATAACTTTAATTTAATACTAGCATTAAAAGCAGCCCGCATCTGACTCAATAATACTTCCTTTAACTACTGCTTTTAAATTGAAAAGTATAGACTATACTAAAACTATTTAGCCAAATAGACACAACAGAATAAATCCATAACAGTTTCGAATTAAAATAAAAAATTAAAAAAGAGTTCGAGTTATAACAAATAGAAAAATTGATGGAGAAAAGATCACTTTCTGAATTTTTATTGGCGCATTAAGGAATTAATCGGAGAACGACATAAGAGTTTTCATAGCGATGTCTGTTGCACTTGAACTTCCAGTATTTACAAAAAATAAAATTTGCTCATCTAAAAATGCATAGCATTAAAAAATAACTCCTAAAACAATCAAGACAGGCATATAAAAATGTAAAAGAATAAAGTTTTAGCTATTTTCCAAAAATTTAGGTTGCTGTTTTCTCAGCCAACAAAAATATGAAACACTAAATAGTTGGATTCAAAGAACTAATTTGTGTATATTTCTTCATTCATGAGATCTGTCATGCCTTTATCATCATATTTATTACTTAAATTGTCACCAATATTTTTGTTTTTCACACTTTACAACACTTCAAACAAGATGCACCTTTCCCTTAGGAACTAGCACAATTAGGGAAAAAAAAATTGTAAATATTTTGCTGATTTAGAAACACACAATATTCTGCTTAGTGACATAAACTGGGAAAATATATAACTATACATGGCAATGCAACTCTCTTTCAGAACTTTTCAAAATATTGCCAACATTTATTTTATTACAAAAAAAAAAAAAAAAAAAAAAAAAAAAAAGGAATTAATAATATTTTGGCTTTTGTGACCCAAAACTAAACATTTTTCCAAGCTCATCTATATAGATTCAGCAGTTAATATGAAATTATATCTTTTTTCTGAATGAAATCAGCTGTATATTTTTAAAACCAATTTGGAAGTTTTGAAGGTTTAACCTTCCTTGTTAGTGTTTGCAGCACTGGAGAAATAGAGCCCATGATCACTTTTTCATTTTATTCACATGCCTATCGATGCAGTACGTGGAGAAAAATAATTAATTATATCTCTTGTAGAAATGAGCCATTCTATCAAAAAAGAGCAAAGTATGCTTAATCATTTCCTTTTTTAAAAAGAATATTAAAATATAACGGATGTCATATAGCATACCTGATAAACTGAAAGTTGAATCTTGAAGATTTCTGCCGCCACTTTTAGTCGGTGGGCGCGAATGAAATTCATGTATTGATTTTACTTGGGTAAATTCAGATGCTCCTGAAGTATTAAGCGCTTCACCTGGCAGATCACGAACAACAGGTGGTGGGAAGCTCTGTAAATATACCAAATTTATACAAGTTTTAAAAGCTTCAGAGAGTAACCAAAGTGGCATAAAGCATACAAACCAGAAATGTTTTGAACCACCTTCATTTTGCAATTATTAGCATACAAAAAATTTCAAGATAATTATTGACACCATCATCAAAATCATCATAATACAGTCTCACACTTATATAATGATGTTCTAGTCTAATTTGCTATGCCATTTAGCTAACACCATCAGTCTTTTAATATTATTGTGCAGTATTTCAAAGCCATTTCCCTTAATATACCTTTTAGACCAGGTGCCTATTAACAAAAATAACTGACCAATTCAAATATACATATACATCTTGAAGATTAACAACTTTCAGTTAATGCTCTTCTCTCTGATAATCTAGAGGAAGGTCTTGCTAGAATCTTGTGGAATTAATTTTGACTTACTGCAACACAAGGGGACTAATACTTAGGCAGCCCATAAAAAGCTAATTTTTACGAGTTACTTTAACTAATATTTTTCTAAGCTAGAAACTACTTATTCAAATGACTACATAAAATGTTAGCTGCTGCTTATTATATTTTAATTATCCAGATATAGTATATTATTAATATTCTGGGTAAAGACTTCAGTGGAAACACTGCACACACTGAAACAACTTACCAAATTTTAATTGCTAATAATTCTTAAGGACAGCAATCAAAGTGGTTTTAAGATTTTACTGATGTATAATCTAAATCAAAACTGAGTTATAAGCAAAAAATGGAATTAAAAGAAATGATTATTTAAAAAATTCTTGACTTGATGGAAAAGTTGTCCAGGGATACCTGTCTATGGTATGGATGCCATGCAAGGCTTTAAAAAGTTTTTTTTTTTATGTTTGTTCCATAGATAGTTTTCTTTCCAAATGGGGGGGGACTATACAATATTCATGTAGTTACTTTTCATCTACTGTGAACAAATTCTGAAATATACCTACCAATGCAAGACCTGAGCAAGTCCTAGAAGAGCTTGTTATTAGTATATTCTATTAATCATCATGCAAAATGCTCAGATTGGTAAAACAATTATAACAAAAATCGTTGCCATAAAATAAGGAAAGCTTCTATAATAAAGACTTAGATGAACAACTTAAGCTAAGAATTTTACCTCTTGTTGTCGTAAGCGGGCATAAACAAAAGGAGAAAAAACTTCTGTTGAAATATAATCGCCAGCGCCTTGAGTAACATTCACCTACAGAACAAATAAATTCTGCATAAATAAAATACTCATTAAAATGACATTAACATAAAACAGTGATAAAAATGACATTTAATTTATTAAAGTTTTATTCCTTTCCACTGTCAATGAATATTATGCTTTTAAAAACCTCACATTTAAGTTGGTACTTAGAAACAAAGTTTCCTGATTCTATATTTAGTGATATTCAGCTGTACGCAGACGTTCCAAATTTTCAAAACTATATTTTGAAAATTGCAAAGCTGACCGATTTGTGTAATGAAAATATAAAATGATAAGAGATAAAAAGTAGCATATTTCAGTTCTCAACACCAAATAACTTAAAGGACAACAAAGACTAATAGAAATTTAGTGTTTGAAAAATCAGGCCATTATACGAGGGCCATCCAGGAAGTAGATTACGTTTCCGTCTGTGTCCGTTAGGGGCGGGGCTAGCGCGGCCATCTTGGGGTCAGAGCGTTGCGCAGCTCAGTCTGCATCTAGCCGTGCTAGTGAGAGGTTCGTGCTGTGCTTTGTTCAGATACTGTGACGGTTTGAAATGTCTGCGTTAATTGAAAATCCCGCGAGCTGCGAGGTGCGCTCAGTAATAAGGTTTCTGACTGCAAAAAACTGTAAACCGATAGAAATCTATCGGCAGCTTCGTGAAGTGTATGGGGACAACATTATCACTGAAGGTGGAGTGCGTCAGTGGGTCATAAGATTTCAAAATGGCCGAACCAATGTTCACGACGAAGATCGAAGTGGGAGACCCAGCATAGTGACCGCCGAACTTCTCGAAAAAGTCGATGCTAAAGTCCGTGAAAATCGAAATTTCACAATAACGGAACTTTCTTTGAGTTTTTCCACAAATTTCGCGAAGTTTGTTGCACGAAATCATCAGCGAAAAGCTTGGTTACCACAAGTTTTGTGCAAGATGGAAGGCAAGAAGAGGTAACGAAGTGGTTGAAGGCGCAGGCGGCCGAATTTTTCGACGAAGGAATTTCCAAGCTCGTACATCGCTACGATAAATGCCTTAATTTGTATGGTGACTATGTAGAAAAGTAGTATTTGAGTGTGGCTTTCATCTGTATATAATAAAATTTGTTTCCTATACTTTGTTTATTTTTTTATTCCAAAACGTAATCTACTTTCTGGATAGCCCTCGTACAAGAATTTCCGGAACCATATACAGTGCAAAGTCCGTAATCAGGACTCGTCGGGACTTCGGCGATTCCGGATTAGGGGTTTTTCTGGATTATAGATCATCAATTTAAATCTGGTAAGATGGTATGCAGAAATTATACAATTAAAAATATGAAACCATGATTTATGAAAAATAGCATTTATGATCTAAAGAGTATCAAAATTTACAAAAAAAAAAGCTCAATATTTAAACATTTCTTTCAATGTAAGTTGTTCAAGTTGCTTCGTTTTTTCTGCCAACACTTTCTCTTTAATTCTATAAACAGACATAATTTCTTGTTCAGTTACAAAGTTCCACTGTTCAAGCCCTGAAATTGCTGTGTCGAGAACACAGACTAATGTGTCAATCAAAATTTTTTCGTTTTCAATAACCTATCTGTCACTTTCTTCACTATCGGAAGTGGTATTTTCTGGATCTAGAACCATACTACCGATTTCACCATCCATTGATTGATGATTGGGGCATTGTCGCTGCAATGAAAAACTTCTGTTATATCATCTTCATTTATTACTCTTCTCCACATTTCTTAACAAAATCCAATAACTGGAAAAATTCACCTTTAGTTTGTGATGCCCGAAAACCTTCAAATTCGCAGCTATTATCTTCATCGTCCTCACCATGAAATATGGTAGCTGGCCATAAATTAATGCCAAGCATTTTTTAACGTATCTGGAGACACATCCTCCCATGATCTTGTGACGCTCCACACAGCAGATTTTATGCTAAAAAACGTAAAAAATTCTTCAATAGTCTTGCAACTGTTCAAGAAATTTAACATAGATTTTAAAAATGCTACATTATATTTGCATTTCAGCGCGTGCACTATTCCCATATCCATAGGCTGAATGATAAGACGTACAATTTGAAGGGAAGAATAATACGGATACATTATCTTTCACTAAAACTTTAAGTGAAGTATGCGTCAAACAGTTGTCAACAATCAGTCAGGACTATTTTTGAGTCATCAGGTAAACCAACCGAATTCAAACGTCGCTGAGCCTCTGGTATAACATGATTTTCAAACCAATCATTCATCAACGCTTGTGTCATCCATGCTCTTTTATTTGCACGATATATAACGGGAAAAATCGTTACTCCTTTAAACGCTCGAGGTCGTGCATGTTTTCCGATTACGAAATTTTGCACTTGCGCATTGCTGCAGCATTTGCACATGCTAAAACTGTTAGTCTCACTTTGGAATCTTTGACACCAGTTGGAGCCTTTTCTGTAGAGGTTGCCAAGGTGTTTCGCAGTACATATTGCCAGAAAAGACCAGTTTCATCAGTGTTATAAATTTGTTCTGGAGATAATTGTTTACTTGTAATGAGTTCAATGCATTCATCGGGAAATTGTTCAGCAGCTTCAGCACCAGCTGAAGCTTTTTCACATGAAATTTTTAATTGTCTTATACCATGGCGATTTTAAAATTTGGTTAACCAACCTGTCAAATATATGGACTCTGTGTTTAAATTCATTTCTTCATGAAATATTTTGGCTTGAGCCATTAGCATTGGACCCGTCAATGGCACACCCTCGGTGCGACGCTGTCTGATCCAGTCAATCATCATGATCATGACTTTTAGTATAACGAACCTTTTTTCTGTTATTCATTGCAAGAGGGTGTCGGAATCCACAAAAAATCAAAAAGTTCCTTTCTCTTTTTGCTGCCATATACAGTTGACTTTCCAATGTCATACTCCTTGCATAATTTTGAGACAAATATGCCTTTATCCACTTTCGCTTTGTAGATCCTTTGGCAGCTCCAGAATTGGAAACTCTTTTTGATATAATCGAAAGTTCAAGCTTTAATTTTTATAAAATTGCTCTCTCTAACAGTCTGCAAAAAGTAATAAGCTGGATCCAATTAGAAGATTAAGGAACAGCGCAATCTGCAACATTAACTAAAATGCCTTAGAATCAGTAAAGATAATTTTAGCCTAGCTTATACCGTACGTTATACATTAAACTTGCATGCATAAAGCATACAAAAAGAAGGTTTGTGACTTTGAGGTCCGGATTATGGACCTCAAAGTCATTCCGGATATTATTCCGGATAATGGACGTCCGGATTACGAACTTTGTACTGTATTATACTAGAGAAATACATTTCAAATCATACTCATTTTCACTGGATAGAAATAGTATGCACTCTATCCAAGAATAATTACATTATCGCAAACTGAATATATCGTAGAGGTAAGGTACAGTAAAAAAAAATTATGAAATTTGATTTACACCAACTACACTTATCAAACTGCATTGATGTAAGTAAAGTCAGCCAGCAGCTGAACAATAAAACTGCTGAATATAGATAATTAGACACGGGTAACAACCCCTCTGAATGGGCCAGCCACAAAAGAGGTTTCGTGCTTTTCCCCATATGTAACATGGATGCGAGTCAATTTCCCTTGAACTGCCATACCAACATTGCTTTTTTCCTTATTATTATTAATATATGATGCAGGCTTTTCCTAATTTTTTTATTACTTACTTGACAAATAGCTGAGAATTTATTTTAAAATCTGCTGCTACAATCTGCTAATGGAAGCTACAATTTCACTTATTTCTTCATTAATTCAAACTTTCCTTAGACTTTTCATATTCTTTTAAAATCTCAGAAATCAAATTTTCCAGTTTAATATTCTCTCGCATAAGTCTATTAATTTTGCATGGCTAATGTACTTTTGAAACAACATATAAAACACAATGTACGTACACTCATGCCCATAAATTAAGGATAATGCAAAATCAGGCAAAGGAAGAGTTAGAAGCAAAACAAATTTGACTTATTTGTAAAGCTTATTTATTAAACAAAAGGTAAAGAGCAAAAACAGATGCTATATGTTTGATATTATTATAAAAATTAGCGATTTTTTCTCCCTGGAGCAAATTACAAAAAAAAAAACCTATTTACAAAAAACCAATATTACATGGTTGGTATGATTGTTAATGCATTGTATGTCTCCCAGACGATGCAATACAGTCCGTACAACGCCTAGCCATGCTGAGTATCAAATTATCGATCTGATCTTGGGGGGATATTACACCACTCAAAAAGCAATGCTCTCCGAAGTTCCGGTAGACATGTAGGAGGAGGTTGACGGGCTGGAACTCGTCGGCCAAGTATGTCCCACACGTGCTCTACTGAATTCAAGTCTGGTGAGAAAGCTGGCCAGTCAGTACGGGTGATATTCTCCGATTGAAGGCATTCGCTTACGATGTTTGCACGGTGAGGACGGGCGTTGTCATCCATAAACACAAATTGTGAGCCCATGGCGCCCCGAAACAAACGAACATGTTGTTCCAGAATGACGTCCTGATAGACTTGGCTTGTCATGGTTCCAATTTGAACAGGTAGATCAATTCTGGAACCCAGAATAATTCCACCCCAAACGAGCACTCCTGCACCACCGTAACGGTGTCGTTCAATAACGTTTTCTTGGTGATAACGGGTACCTGAACTCTCCATGTGAAAGTCCGGCAAGAATCAGACAGCAAGCTAAACCTGGGCTCGTCGGACAACAACACACAAGCCCACTGTTGCGGTGTCCACAATGCATGCTCTCTACTCCAGGCTAAACGCAGGCGACAGTGAGTTGCAGTAAGTGGAACGCATCTGACAGGTCTACGAGCATATAGACCAATCTGCCTTGAAATTGTCGTACCAGTGGCTGAAGAGAGCTGACGAGACAGGTCTGAGGCTGTGCTCCGCCTGTTTTCTTTTGGCAGTAACTGCCAAATACCGGTCTTCATTCGGCGTTTTAACTCTGGGGCGACCTGTGCTGTAATGTCTACTCACATTACCATCATCTTGGAATCGTTGCCAAAGCTTGGAGATGACACTCTGGGCAATTCCAAGCTCGTCTGATACTTCCAGTTGGGTACGCCCACATTCCAGATGGCCGATAATTCTACCACGTAAGAAATCATCCAAATGCGTGCTTTGTGTCATAACTATTCGGTTATTGCACTGAAATGCTTATAAAGCGCCTGCGAACAATTTTACTTCTTTGCCTGTATTCCTTATATATCACTCTCTTGCACTCTCATCATTGTGACGTACCATCGGTGTCATCTGGTTACTTTCTGAAATTTGCATATGGTTCTTGAAGATGTGTGTAGTGCTTTTTATAGGTGATATATTTATTTTAGAGTTCGATTTCCGCGTGACTCCGAATTATCCTTAATTTATGGACATGAGTGTATTTACATCATCAAATAAAGATGATTACAATTAAAAAAGTTCATGCCAATGTATCCTTAATTTGAAGACTCTGGCAATCAACTTCAATAAAAATTGAAATAAAGTTACTTACAGCTTGTGGAGAAAAGCCAGCGGTTTATGTTTAAGTGAACATATTCAAGATCACTCAAATAAAGTCTGAAGAATTTGATTATACATTGCCTGACAGACAAAAATAATGGTATACTATGAAGAAGCAATTGCACTGCAGTGCAAATTGTTATAGAAATACACATATATAAGTTGTGTAGATGACTGCATTTGAAAGCCATCAATCAGGTGATTATAATGCAGTGTATACATATCCAAACAACATGCAGAGATATCAGTTTTGGTGGCATCACAACTTAAAATGCAAGTTTTTCAGTTGTTTTTGGGTCTGGTGAATGAAGATGACAGTATTCTGACACTCAGTGTCAGCAAACAGATGAGTTCATGACAATTAAGAATATGGTTAAATCTAATACTAATTCACAAAACTAAATGCTTACTCTTGTCATGGTAAAATTAAAACTTAACGAATTTTAATTTTAAAAGTTCCTCTGTTTTTTATTTCTTTTCTGAGTGCAGAAACATTAAAGGTAAGCAGCATGTAGAAAGAGGCTTGCAATATATATATATATGTCATAAGATATATATATATATATATATACAGACTTAAAAGAAACAAGTATACTGCAGGGATTGTCACTTTTTTCTCCAAGTGTTGAGGACCCTAGTGAACTACTAAGCGAATAATTGGTTAAATCCAAAAACAGAAAACTCAAGAAGGGTTAATTACCCTTTATTGCTCAATAAAGATATACAGATTGCCTCTTTCTCAGGATGGCTTAAACTCGAAAATGTAAGAAATAAGAACTAAACTAATGATTAACTAAAGAAATTTACCCAAAGCTAACAAAATTTCTAAACTAGTTGGCCTGTAATATTAAATTAGCTAGGGAAGCTATGAAGGGCACATAATACAACTGAGCATAGTAATAGCTTAGAGAGACGTTGCCAAATGTGCACTATTCAGGAATCCTAATCCTCTCTCTCTCTCAAAGTCAGTGGAACTTCGACTTAAATACTACCCCTTCTCATTTGCATTTAACGTGACTCTAAAAAATCATTCTGGTAAGGACCTTCAGCTGAAGTTAGAAGAGATAGGAAAGTCAAATAAACTTAAAATAACTGTTATAAAATTATGATATACCTTACAATACAAGAAAATGCAATTTATAACCACAAAAACAGAAAAGGGGGGGAATCAACTTGCAAACATTATATCAATTAGCTTACTTTGCAATATAGTAGAAAATTCTGTTAATGTTTTTGAAGGAAAAGAATTTAAAATATGGCCCCAGTGTTCATTAATAGTATTCAATATGTATAAAATCAGAGAGTTTAAAATTTCTTACTTTGCCATTGTCAACGACGACTTTTCCTTTTGATATAACATATTCAGGTATCCCTTGAATTTCAAGGCCTTCGAATATATTAAAATCAACACTTTGATGATGACTTTTTGCAGATATGGTTCGTTTGCCATAAGGATCCCACACAACTATATCAGCATCCGATCCTGCTTGTATACGTCCCTAAATTTATATATTATGAAGTTAGATGCAATGAATAATTTTAAAAAAAAATATGTATACTTTGAACAAGTACATACTTTTCGAGGATAAATATTGAACACTTTTGCAGCATTTGTGCTAGTCACAGCAACAAAGCGGCATGGGTCAAGTAATCCTGTCATCTGTAAGAAAACAATATGAGTATAATTTAAAAAGTGGGCAACAATAAACTTTAGCATTTTATCTCTATATGGAAATAGAAATCTAGGATAAAATAAGGGTAATGCAACATGGCTGCTAATAAAAATTTATCACTTACCACTCCTCTTTGCCATACAATTGACATTCTATCTTCAACTCCATTCACGCCACTGGGTATTTTAGTAAAATCACCAATACCCATTTCTTTTTGAGATGTACTGAACGTGCAATTGTCAGATCCAGTAACTTGAAGCACATCACTGAAACAACATTCTCTCAGTTCCATTTAAATAACAACATGGGGGAAAAATTGAAATTATCGAATCGTAGTTTTATAAAATATATTTGTTACCGGAGATTCAGAAAGATAGATAACTGATCATATTACTGTAAACTACACTATAGCTATTGCTACTTTAACAGGGTTCACACACATTTCTGCACACTGAAATTAAGTACTTTTAAGGACCATTAATGAAAAAAAATTAAGGACCTTTGAGCAAATGAGAACTGAATAAATTCAATTAAAAATATTATTCTATGCCTGAATTTTACTTTTGTAATACCATCTTAAAAATAAAATATATCCCTAAGTAATCTGCATTATTACTAAACATGAATTAATTAACATAATTATTAATAAGCTTGAGAATAAAATAAATTTTATGCAATCTATCAAGTAGCATTAAATGATTTACACTTATAATAGTTGGACATATTTGAAAGAAGATAAGTGAAATTTAAGTTTTACTAATAGTTAGCTTTATGTTGATTTTTTTTTTTATATCTCATTTTGTCACATACTTGGTCAGTCTAAAGGTTTAGTAAATAGCAGGTAGATTTTATATCAAAAACGGCATAGGTTAAAATGAGAAGTACGATCAAAATCGGCATGATTCATAACAAAAGACTGAATGCTGTCACCGCTGCTGTTTGTCTAAAGAGTGAACTGCTGATTAAAACAAACCTGAAAGGCCTGATGTAGGCACGGTTGGCAAGTGTTGAAAGTTACTCAGTATCTGTTTAATGCGTTAGTGTCATAGCTTCGCGCAGAGTTCCAGGGGTTGTAACCCAGTTAATATACTTTAAGGTTCCATTAAGAAATTGAAGCACCAGAGGTGATAAGTTGTTTTGTATCATTTTAAGTCTTACTAGATGCCAAGAACAAGTTTTCTTGAATTTTTACATTTTTGTGTTTTATCTTGTAACTATTAATGAAAGGCAATAACTCACTTTAATATGTAGAGATAATTTTTAAGGGTAAGCAGTTAGCTATAAATAATTAAATTAGGTAACCTTAGTCATTATGGATTTACGTGGCCATTATTAAATTTTATTTTTCAACAATATTTGTTAAAAAGCTCTATTAAAACCAAAATCTAATAAAATTTCACAGTTTAAAATACATGTAATTTATGACATTGATTCTTAAATGATATTAGGACAATTACACATTAAAGGCTACAAAACATTTATGTTTTGTAACAAGAACACTCAACAAAATATTTATCCGTGATTTTAATTTAAAGCCTTCCCAAACATTTTGGCTAGTTTATATCGATTTCCTTCTCTTTAAGCATCTTTTCTAACAATTAGATATTTGTCTCAATATGCAAACAATGCCCTGGCTACTTCCTGTGTGCTTTATCTCCTAACTTGTCAAACTTTCCACAATGCACATATGAGGATTTACTTGATCTGGTAAATGTTAAATAGTCCCAAACCCCTGACAGATGTGGAGCAAATTATCGCTATGTCTGAAAGTAACTACAATATCAGACAAAGGTTTAAATAAGTGTCTTATTTAAAAAGAACTTAGAACATAAAGGCATGTTCTAATGATGTTCTAATGCTAAGAAAATCAATTACAGCTCATGGTGACATAATTAAACAAGAATAGTCAAATTCAAACTAAAAATGTGGACTAGTTTTAAAAGTTATAAAATTTAATTAAAATTTAATCTGGCTCAGTAAATCTATCATGAGGAAATAGAAATGGAAAAAGGCTAAAATTATAAATGGGCAATTTACATAATAATAACTGCACATATCTTTCAAGAATCATTTTCTTTATTCTCTCAACACATCTTTCATTTTAGAATTTTTGGATTTAATTAAGAATTTCTGTTATTCTAAAAAACACTAAATGCATTTAGAATGTATAGAAAAAGTAGCTAAGCTTATTTCTTTAGTAATATGAACATTCAGGAGAAATATGAAATATATATGATAAAGGTTGATTCCAGAGCTGGCGTGGCAGAATTTTTAGAATTTAGTGACACACCGAACAACAAAATCTAGAAATGGCAAAACTTTCAGAATTTAGAGCAGGCATTGGAAGCAGAATTTAGAATCCATAGAGACTGCATCAAGTGGGAAAATGCCTAGTGCCAGCTCTGTATATGATGCATTAAGACATATTAGATGAATATTTTAAATTGTAAGTTTTCAATTTCTTTATTAATAAAAAAAATTACTTTCTATAATACCTGCTCAAGTGATAAGATTAGAAGAATTTTTGATATTTTCCATGCTTGTGTCTAGTGAAAAGTAGAGAAAATAAAGGGAAAAAAATGACTAGTATCAGGAGTAAAACATTAAAATATTACCGTAATTTCCGGAAGAAACGCCCCGGCGTTTACGTGTTTAAAACTTAAATTTTCAGCGGGTGCAATGTTTCTACCCATGCGGCGTTTAGGTGTACTAAAAATAAAATATTTCCTATAATGGTCATTGTACATAGTTTGGATGGCCTTGTCATTGTGCATAGACTGGTGCTGTTCCCACACAAAAGACCACTCAGTTGCTTTTTGCAAACGTTATTTTGTTTACATTCTTTCCCTTGAACAGACCTACATGCCTTATTCACCCTAAACGAGATCTCAGAACAATAACATTCTTCCCCCTTTCAAATCAACATTCTCATCAGTTCAAATAGTCTCTCTCCTCTGCCATTCGATGAATCTTCCAGGACCCATCCTCTCCCCACCCCTGCCTTTTCTGCAATTTTTTTCAAAGGCGGACACGACTCCACCTGCCTCGCAATAACGAACTCTGACGTATTTCCCCTTCAGCATGAATGTATTTTTCTTGGCATTCTGCCAGATACAGATCCCATCAGTTTGGGTACAAGTACTTGTTGAATAGTTTTTAAGTAAGAAGGGAGAGGAAAATTTTTGAAAATGTCCCTAAATGGCACAGAAGCTATACCGCTGGTTTTAAGCTTAATGTAATTTCACGTGCTGAACAAATTAGAAATCGAGCAGCAGCTCGAGAGTTTGAAGTGGACGACAGATGTATTCGATGTTGGAGAACTGAAAAAGAAAAATAAGCCCCAACAGAAACGAGCCAAAAGAAGTAGTACTGTAAGGTGGCCAAATCTAGAGGACGACCTTGCAAACTGGATAAAGGAACAACGAGGAAACGGAATGGCAATTTCGACTGCAAAAATTCGCTTACAAGCAAAATTTATAGCAAAACGAATGAACATAAATGATTTCAAAGGAGGTGTAGCAGATTTATGAAAAGAAAAAATATTTCGGTGCATATTAGAACAACAGTCGGGCAACAATTACCAATGGACTGGCAGGATAAAAAGTCATCTTTTCTAAAATATGTGACAGCTATTATTGACAAAAAAAAAAAAACTTCTTTGGTCGCAGATAATAAATAGGGATGAAACGCCGTTAGCTTTCGACTCTCCTGCAAACAGAACTGTTGATGAAACTGGTGCAAAACTTGTATCTGTGTTTATGACGGGGCATGAAAGAACGTCATTTTCATGTGTGCTAGCTTGTGCCGCAAACGGTGACAAGCTAAAGCCGATGATCATTTTTAAATGAAAGACTATTCCGAAGGGAGATTTTCCTAATGATGTAATTATTTGTGCAAATGAGAATGGCTAGATATGCGAAACAATCATGCACGAGTGGCTACAAAAAGTTTGGCAGTGTCGTATGGGATCTTTTTTCCAACCAAAGGGGTTATTGATAATGGATTCCATGCGTGCTCATTTCTTTGAGTCAGTGAAAACCAGATGTCAAAAATTGTCTACGACCGAAGCAATAACTTCTGGTGGTTTGACAAAAATCTTATAGCCGTTAGATTTGTCAGGTAACAAATCCTTCAAAGCTGAAGTCTGAAAGCGGTGGGAGTGTTGGATGAGTGAAGGAATGCATACGTAAACCAAAAGCGGTAAAATGCGTAGAGCATCTTATGAAGAAATTGCAAAGTGGGCAGGAAGTGCGTGGAAATCGGTAGAAACATTGTCAATAATAGCAGGGTTCAAAGAACCTGAAATTATATCCTTAGATAAAGAGACTGTAAACCAAGAGGATGAATGTGACGATCTGGAAGACTTAGACTAGGATTTAAATCTTTTTAATTCAGATAGTGAAGAATCAGATTTTGATGGCTTCATATGATGTATAATTTGCTGTAATTCATCAGTAAAATTTAAAATTTCCTTTTATCATCCAAATTTAATATTTCGTTGTTGCAACATTTTTTATAATATAGTCTGAGTATTACAAATATGGACTTCTTTAGTGAGTAAATATAAGTATATACGTGAAGGTAAATATATTTTCCACATTTCTTACCTTTAATTTATTTTTGAGTTATGGTTTCATTTCATGCATTTTTCTTAACTGGTATGTCATATATCAGGACTTAGGTTGAGTTTTTGCATCTAAACGGCCCACGACGATGTCACACGCAATTTAATCTATGCGGTGTTTACGCTGATGCGGTGTTTCTGTGTAATTTTAATTTTTTCCCTGCCATTTATCTCGAGTGCGGTGTTTACGCTGATGCGGCCTTTCTTCCGGAAATTACAGTATGTTTTCATTGTTCTTCCAGGCGTTCTCCAAAAAGTAAGAAATTCATCACAAACTTTCTGTAAAATACATCCATTACGTGTTGATACCATGGAGACGTTTTCCATTTTGTCACATATTTCTCGAATTTTATAGAATGACAGTGAAAAATAAAAATGTTTCATTTTGATGTTATTTTTTAAATATAATTTCAATATATTACCATTAGTTTAATGAAATTTATCAATATTATGATGTTTTAATAACAATCGTCGAAAAATTCCGAGATCTCGGAATTAAAACTTTTCAATAGTAAATAATCTTAAAATCCCCGAAATGTTGACAAGTCACGAAATTTAGAACCGTTTAATAAAAGAATTCACATCCCCAAAAGCGAAAAGTTGTTTAAGAGCTCTTTATAAGAAAAAATGAATTTCAAAATG